TATAATGCAAACAAAACTGCATTCTTTCTCTTTTTGATAAATGGATTCAGCACTACAGTTAACTTCAGCAGAAAACAAGGGTCTGGAGAACAGTGAATGAGCCAGTAGACTGGGGATGTGACATGTGCTGCCTTAGTGGTGCTCTGAGACATTTGCAAATCATGTAATAATGTGTTTAGTGCAGTGGTTGAGTCTCAAATTTAGGTCAGTAGTTAGATGCAGTTTAGTGGCCTCAGTGTGTGTGTTCGTCCGTTGCTGTACCAGATCCTGTTACATATCTGACACCCGGAAAGGTCTCTGTGTGTGTGTGTGTGTGTGTGTCTGCTTACCCTTGACCTCAGCAATCATCATGGCAGTCGCTGCTGCTGCTTTCATTTTTTTTCTCACATGATTTGAGAAAGTGCTTTCTTAATGTTTTTCCCACAACAAAAACATGTGTTTCTGTCTACAGCAAAGACAGAATGTGGTAGTTTTAGTTGGTAAATTTAATATTTTATTGAATTTCTATTGTTTCATTTACAAATTGACAGAAGAGAAAGGGTAGAAAGCTCACCTCATCTATGCAGTATCCATATCTTTATAAAGTAACAGTTTTTTAAAATAGAAAATACAAAGAGGTTTGCATATTTGCTTAGAGGTCAGATGATAGGTTAAATGAGATTGCCTGTGTCTGGTCAAGGGTTTTAGTCGATTGTAGTGTAAAGAGAAAAAACTGGACAGTTAACCAAGAAAAAAGGACGGTAAAGGGAGAGAAACGGCACAGTAGTCACTGTGGGATTGTGTTCTGCACCTGAGCCACTGCTGTGCCACCCAGTTAGACTAATGTCTAAATGAAAGTGGGCGCCCTCGCCTCTCCTTTACCAATGACCATCATCACTCTGGGCTGGGCTCTGAGTGCGCCTCGACTACAGCCTGTCAATTAAACCTCCATGGGCAGGAAGTCAAAAGAGCCTTGGAATAAGCCCACGTCTCATCTGTCTGCCGTACCTGTCAGCGGGACAGCTGAGACATCTGTACACTGTCATGGATGTTTAAAAATAATTCTGATTTAAACTGGTAAAGACGTCCACGTTCTTGTTTGACAGTTTGGTCTGTCTGTATTTTACATTACAGGTTTTTCCTGTTTAAAGGTGTGGACAAGTAGCCACAGAAGCTCAGAGCCTGGCAGGAAACATCCTATTGTCACTCTCCACAGACACAAACTGATTGTTTTGCCTACAATGAAATCAAAACCTTTTGTCAGGTTACACAGTGTCTTTGATGCGACTTCCCCCTTGATATGATCTTATCCTGTCTGCCTCGTCCCTTCTTTGTAAGGGGTGTGTTGTGGGGATTATTTTGCCTTATCTTTAGGTGCAACTGATTTTGTCATGCTTTTCAATACAATCCGCTCTGTTTGTGAGATGTGGTGTGTTTTGAGCGGAACTGCTGGACAGTCTGCAGCCTTGACAAAGGAGCAAGGTGCACAGACTGGAGATCTTTGAAGCTTGATTATCAGCTGTGGCACACAAATTCAGATGCGTGTGTCCCTGACTCAGTAGTAGAGTTTAAGAGAGCCATTTGTTTCCAGACAAGTGTACTGTGCATACATTTTTTTGTTCCTTTTTATTTAATCTCTCCTCTCCTGAAGGTCCATAGCAGATATTTACTAAAGTGTGCAGAGCACATTCCCCTCTCTTGTGGAAATCACACGCTCAGCATGTGAAATTGCTGTCCCAGGGTCAAACACTCTTCAGGGGATATTGTTTGCTGAGAGGAGCTCATAAAACTGGAGTGGCCCAGCTGTTCCAGCATATTGTTGTCAGAGAGGATGCTTAGCTTTTTTTCTGTCATTACTGATTTAGGAATATTATCCAATGTGCATTTGCTCTCTCTCATCATCAGAAAGGATCGATCTGAGGCCGTGGTGTGCCAGCTCCTCTGTTGGCTGCACGGTGTAGATGAATACTGGTCAAATTACTAATGAGATTTGATGGAGATTCCCATGAGCAGACTCCAAGCCCCAGGATGGGAAAAGAGTTCATTCTGAACTGCAAAGTAGAATTTGACTTTCCGCCCTTCTGAACTGCGCTTCTTACTGTAGGTGAATCCTCAGGTGAGAGATGGGATACTGGGAGTGAGTCCATGTTGTCCTTCCATTGCTAATGGCCAGGAAATGTCTATGCTGGAGAGACTAATTTGATTTCTTTAATAGAAAAGCATCCGTCCAGCTCCATTAGCTAGTGGTAAACAGCAACACATGGCAAGAGGAGAGGCAGGTTGGAGACAATAAGGAGGGAGAGGTGCGAGGAGGGAGTTTAGATGGGAAGACAGTCAGGGGGATGAGGATGAGAAGACAGAGATTTGTTGTTGATGCAGGCCAATGAACTGTCAGAGGTTTGGTTTGGTTATTGATGATGGAATACAGCAGGTTGTGTCTGGGTAATAAGCTGAGGCAGCCTTGGTGTTGTAGTAATTCACTTAACTACAAGAGTACACATCTGATCATTTAGATTTTTTTTTGGAACCAGATGCAGTATAATAGTGATGTGACTGTGTTAAAGATGCATTAACTAAGATATGACACACTGTCTGATAGATCAGGTGAAAATGGGACAGGACGTTGTGTCTCTTAGCTATACTGCTCCTCTGCATGACACTCTGGTGCCTGCACCTGTTCTGTTGCTATTTCTGCTTTTGTAACTTGTCTTTTTAAGGTAAATTTGCCCCACCTGCCACCTAGCAAAGGTTATAAGAAGCGTTTTCTTGTACCATGAGTAGTATTCTCTAACACCCATCCATCCATTATCTATACCACTTATTCCTGAACAGGGCTGCGGGGGCCGCTGGAAACAATCCCAGCCAGTCTATCACAGACAAAGGGCCTCTCATCTGCTAAAGGTCTGAAACAGTGGCTGTCAGACCAAAGAGGTGGCATCTTTTGCACAGAGAGCGTGGGACAGCAGAAACCAGGGTTAACATCAGTTTGGCTTTTTGTGATGAGGAGTGTTAAAGGCAGCCAGAGGACCCAAATTTGATCCAGATGTTGTACTTTCTTCTGGACATGTTAGCATTTAAAGCTAATGTTTAGTTTTTTAACTTAAAAAAAATAATCTGATTTATTGATATTGAAAATAGTCATTATGCGGCCCTATAAATACATGGTTTAGAGTGTGAGTAATATCGTGGGTCGGTTATTGTCAATACAAGGGAACAAAGGGCAACACAGGACACTGATGAGCCATGTTTACATTTCATGAGCAGCACTTGACACAGACTCGGATCTTTCCCGCCATCACCTCGTCCTCTACCGTGAGAAATGCTACATCCACCAACACAGTGAACAGACACTCGGGAAAACCTAAATCAACCCTGGCAGCATCATTACCTCCCGGCTACAGCTTGCTTTGGCATCTCACACATGTACTGAAACACTGACATAATGGGGGGTCCATCCTACAGACTGATAGTATGAGTCACAGTGAGGGACCCTGGAAGGGGAAAACCACTCGCTCCTCAGAGTCAGATCATGAAGGAACAGTGGGGCTACTATGCTCTCTGTAAATTGAGCCTTTCTTCCTGTGAGAGGGTGACATGGTGGAATACAGCACATTAATGTGGACATGGGTGGGCCTCTCATTCCTGTCATAGCATCGCTCTCATCCCTTTGACCCACCATGAATTTCATTTTTTTTGCCTCCAGGCCTGCTTTTACTTTGTCAACTGCGTGTGGATGTAATGTGTAATTCAGGTTTTTGTAAGGATGGTCATCTTGACCTCAGGGTTCTGTCATCACCACAGCATCTCATCCATTTCAGGTTCTTTTCAAACAAGGTTGATATTAGTTTATCGCAGATATACTGTATGGGTGTGCACTTTAGTGGATCAATGATAAGCAATTTGAGCACAGAAACATTTAAGGTAATTTACAGTGTCTGCTCAGTTTACACCACTCTATAGAGGTATATATGTGCACACAGAGTATAGATATATATTTCATAAACTGTTCATAGGCCTTATCACTTAAGATGTTTTGACATGTCACCGAAGGAAAAACATTGGTGTAAATCATGGCTGCTCTGTTTTGAGAAGTCAGCACCACCAAAAATGGAGAAATGTTTATATTTTTTAATATTTTTGGAATCAAAATGACACCCCCTAATCCAGTCAGAATGCTGTTTCTGTATGTAGATGGAGGACTTTTAATTGATCATACAATTTTTTTTTAACCTGTATTTTCATAAAGCAGTAACTTCTTTGTTGTGTCATAGTCTGATGGTGACATTAATTGTCATAACAGCAGCTGCAGGTCTTCATAACTGTTTAGTGAATGTCTCATTCTTCTACAAACATAGACACATCTTCACTTGTTGAATAAGCTACCAAATAATCATCCTACAAGGAGGAAATTACAGCACTGAGCTAATGTCGGTTTTAAGTTCAACAGCTTACTTGGCTAGTCAGCCATGTCTCATTGAACAGTCAGATACTAAATGATGCATTTCTTATTTTTCAGTGTTCGTTCCAAAACGCGTGCCTGTCCTTGGCTTGTAAGTTATAGTCAGAAGTTTATTGGTTTCCTGCCATTGGTTTTGCATATTTTCAATTTGTGCATAAGAATAATCTAAGTGGAAATGTCAGAAATTCAAAAAAGAAAAGTCTGTATATCACAAAAACATTTTACACTAAGGCTGAAAAGTTGGTGTATGGATCAAAGCAGTAGGATCCAGAATAATGGGAACAGATCTAATGAATAAACCATAATGCACCTTCCTCAAATTAACACCTGGACTGGCCCTCTTAATTATGTCATTTTTTTTGGATTTTAAAAATGTGGAAACTTGACTTTTGTTCAGCTGTCAGTCAAACATGTACACCAGCTCTGAGGTTTGAAGGGTATAGGAGCATTTCTGTTATCTCCAATGTTCTTTCTGTCTTCATAGATTAGGAATACATTAAAACACTCGAACATGTTGAACAGACATATTGACCAACAACCATTTTCTCGTTCTGTCTTTCAGCGTGGGCCAAGCTGGAGGTGAACATGGAGGACAGAGTGGAGGTGTTTAGGGGAAACACAACTCAGATCACCTGCATGTTCACATCAGATCAGGACATCAGCAACATATCCATATATTGGTTCTATGTGAGTTTCATGAAACCTGATCCGCACATACACAGATGGTTATGATGTTTCTGTGCACGTGATGTGTGATTCCCCTGAAACTCTGACCTTTAGGTGGCACGTTTGGATGCGCGGCAGCTCATCTACCACCAGGTTGCCAACTTGGCATCTGTAACACAAGACACACCGTTTACAGACCGGATCACTGTGAACAGCACTGGAACCCCTGGACAGGTGGTGTTGACTGTCAGCAGTGTGAAGCTGGAAGATGAATTGGAATTTATCTGTCGCATCAGATCAAGTGATGAGTATGAGGAGGGACGTACAAAACTGAAGGTGTTTGGTAAGATTAAGGCTCAGATGGTGCGTTTTTTTTTCTTTCTGATGGTTTGAATAATAGAGCACTTTACAAAGCGAATGGCACCAGGTTTAGAGGATGGGTATCATACAATAAGTCATAGCCAGTGTGCTCATTTCAGCAAGGTGTTAAACTTGTAATTATATTGTATCCTTATTCAAAAATGTCAGCTCTTTATAGCTGGCCAAATATTTGACTCTGCTTGTTTTTATAGTTTTATTATAATATTTCATTTTCAGCTCTTCAGCTGCTTCATTATTATAATTTCAGGGAACTCAGTTTACTTCTGCTCCTTTCTATATGTCAAAGGCATGTACAATAGCTCATGCAGAAGCTTTTTGCTCATCATGCTTCACAACTAGCTGTCTGAGGGCTTACTGTTTACAAAGGGGATACCCATATCTTCCTGGGACCCCAACAACATGCATTCAAAACACGGATTTAAACAATAAAATCATATATGACATTAAATAACATCCCCAAATATAAAAACACGTCTTGATTCAGCTCTTAATTCCTGTGCAGAAACACCAGACCGTCCTACCATCGCGGGTGTTCAAACAGTGATCTCAGTGAATGAAAATAAGCCATCCAAGGTAAACAAGCTTTGATTTGCAAACATCAGGGGCCAGTTGTTCAGGAAGTGCAATTGGATCAGAATGATATGGATTTGGAAATCCAGTGTTTTACTCTCCAGGATCAGGTGATTCATATTGCTTTTGTACTGGTTGTTCAAAGCGACTCTGCGATTGATTTGCCTTTATCCAGATGCAAACCATTCAGGATGACCAAATCCTGATTACCAGCGCTCTAAATTGGACTACATATCACAGTGTAGGCAACTAGCTAGGTAAGAAGCAACAACTACCCAATGTGGGGTCACAGAGGCTTTTATTTGAACAGAAAACAACATTGTTATATTATTTGACCAATTTGAAAGTTTTACTACATTTTGTTCCTGAATCCCGCCCTGAATCCACCTCTCTGCTGGGGGCAGGATAATCCAGATGAAAATTGTAATTTGTGCATCTCTATGAACAACCCATTTTCGAGATTTGATCCAATCCAATGACTGAAATCCGGTCAGGTTACTTCTGAACCACTGGCCCCGGGGTATAAAAATGATCACAATTAAATTCTTTAACTTTGTTCTTCTCTCCCACAGATTGGGAGCTGCAAAGTCAAAAATGGCTACCCCAAGCCAAACATCACCTGGTACAGAAACAACACGCCGCTACATGCTGCTCAGGATGGTGAGAAGAGTTAACATCAACATCTGTCCTGCATTTTTCAACAGTTTCAGTTTGTGCATTTAATATTTTATTTCCTTATGTCCCTGTCTTTCCTTCTCTGGTGTTGTGTGTTTGTAAATGATCTTGTATCTTCCAGGGGTGAAATTGGAGTACAGCACCACCACTGAGTCCAGTCTTCTGCTCTCAGTTACAAGTGTGCTGAACAAGAAGGTAGAGAAGGAGGACAAAGATGCTAAGTTCTACTGCGAGGTCAGCTACTTCGTTCCTGGGGGAACCAGGATGACAGAGACCAGCCGGATTAACATCACTGTACAATGTGAGTTTCGCACACTGAGCTACCACATGTGAACTCTTGGGAATACAGTTCATTTCTATATTTAATTTCTAAAACAAACAAAGGTGCAATATGAGACCACATAACTTTATTTTAAAACTGTGGTAATGACAGTTTTAAAAAGTGGCATCCAGTGCTACTGACTATTAGTATACTGGACAACTTTTGACTACTGGTATGATACAGAACACTATATCATACCAGTGTATGGACACCAGGATATTATGCCCATATGTAACGCTTAATTACCAAACCATATGTATTATTATACAGCTATAAAAGTTTTTGGTTCCTGGCTGCGCGTTGGTTTCGATTCAGACAAAGGATCATAGGTGAGGTTGGACACTCATGCTGGGCAATAAACCTGGATCACAGTCAGTATTGCAGTTCATCCCAGAGGTGTTTAATGGGATTGAGGTCCAGGCTTTATGCAGCCTAGTCAATTTCTTCCACAACAAAATTTAAAAATAATTTCCTTAAAGAAAGGGGCCTGCCAACACAGGAAAACCGCTGCCATAAAGATGGAAGCACGGTATTGTCTACAATATTGTATGTTGTACCACTAGGTTTTCCCTTAATTGGAGCTGGTGGTGTGGCGTGGTGCCCCCGACAGCTGTTTCCTCCAGTTAAAGAAGCAATTGACCCGTCAGCGCTTTGGCAGACAGGACACTGGACCTCATGCAGAGCCCACATTTATTCTTATGTACAAGCGATTTAAGAGAATGTGGCTCACTCACAAACTTTCTCATATGTAGAATTTTCTCTTAGGTATGACTGAAATTCATACATGGTCCATAACCTGTCATACAAGTTATGCACAAAGGCTTACGTGCACATTTTGGTACAATAGCTTGGTCAGTTTGGAATATTCTCTCACACCAACAGCCTGCTCAGTGTTTTTATGCAGGTCTGTGTCCAGTATCATCCTCTGTTACACTGTGTAACATCATCTACCGTGGGCTCCAGTATTCCCTCTGTGACCATGACGACCCTTTGACCCTTTGCTCATGTTAGTCTTTAGAAAAACATCTTTTGGCATCTAATTTCATGTCAGACTTTTCCACCTGTATTTCCGTCCCAGTGTGGCGCTGCTCTGACACATTGATGAAAGCTGTAATGTTTATATTTTGTCATGTTTTGGGCCCTGTAACATCACTACTGACACAGCTAAACTTCTTAGCTGTCGTCTGCTAATGTCTGACAGCAGCATTTAAAGCTTTGCTGTGTCTTATTTTTACTCAACAATCAGCAACAATCCCTCACTGAACTGTGTTCCTTGACGAAGCCAGTCCAGTGAGAAGCACTGCTGTTATTTAGTCTAGTTTGTTGTAGGAATGGTTGCGGTCACACGAACCTTCTGCAACTTCTTTACTTCAAAGGGCCTGACCTTGAATTGCTCTCTTTGTTTCAGACCCCTCAACAACTATAGATGTGCGGGTGGCACCACCAAAAGACAAAATCAAGGAAGGGGACTCGATTGAGTTGAACTGCTATGGCGATGGGAATACTCCATTACTGTGTTCCATACATAAACATAACGAAGTAAGAAAATCGAGACGTTTGTACCCATGATTCACACACCAAAGACAGCAGCACAGTCTAGACCTGCTTTGTTGGTGTATATGTTGACAAAAACTGGACTTTTGTCTATGTTGAGTTGAAAGTTGTACTGCAAGTGCTCATCACATTACTCTGGCTTTATGTAGACTAACGACAGTTGGGATACCGCTCCGGCGGTGCTGAATAATGTGACCCGTCACAACAGTGGAGTTTACGAGTGCACCTGTACAGATGTTGAAACGGCCGATGAGATCTCAGGAAAGACCGTGGTGATTGTCAACTGTAAGGAATCTGCACTCACTTGTGACAATGACGGCCAATACATTCTACCAGCTGCACAAATAATTGGAAGTGTTCTCCTGATTATAAACCGTGGCTTGAATTATTTCTCTTCCTGCTGTAGATCTCGATGCTCCTAAGGTAAAATCTAAACACCTTATTGTGTCCCAAGGGGAGGAAGTGGAAGCCACCTGCAACGCTTCGTCATCTCTCGACACAAGCACAACCTGGTTTAACGTTACTCACACTGTACGATTACACACACAGCAACAACATTTTGTTTCAAAAGTGTACCCCAAATGAATTAACATGCATTTAGAAAACCCGTCGCTCTAGTTTTGTGTGCAGTCAGGTAAAGTGTGAGACATTCAGGAGAGAGACAGGAGAAGATGTGTGCCTATAAACTGTACTATATTTTTGTCTGTGTAGTTGTCTTCCACTATGACACACACTACCCAGGATACAATGAGCAAGTGTGTGTTTGTGTGTGTGTGTGTTAAACTGCTTTCTTTTTCCTTGGTGTGTCTAGAACAAAGTGGAGGTTTCTAAGGGTGACACTTTGAGACTTGAGAACGCTACATTTGACACAGCAGGGACATATATGTGTGTGGTGACTGTTCCTGAGATTGAGGGCATGGAAACCAGCGGGACACTTCTTGTTAATGTCAAAGGTGAGTCTGATCAAAGACACTAGAAACTGAATATTAGATTGACTGACAGTCAGTAATCTACTGCTCCTTAAGAACGACCATAATATAATGTAGTAAGTAAGGAAAGTACATAGAATTTGAGTGTTTGCACCAGGTACCGTTTGTATTTATAGTGGTCATAGGAGAGCTGTTCGCTCGTCTCTCTGCAGGCCCACCAGAGATCATGGAAAAGGAAAAAACAGTGATGGAGGTCAATTTTAAGGAGACAGTCAACCTGAAATGCCATGTGAGAGGCTTCCCTGTTCCCAGTGTTACCTGGACCACCCTTGATGGAAAGGTACAGCAGAGGGAGGCTTCACGTTGTTGCATTAGCTTCAGATGCCACTGAAATACAGTTTTTCCAAATGCATGCTCACTAGAATAGATCTTAAATCTACCAATGTATGTCGTAATCAGATTTGATCCTGAAGACAAATTCATGTCATATAACACCCCCCAGAAGATTTTGATCCGCACAGGAAAAAACTGAGGTTCGGATAATTGTTGGACTTCTCTTGTTTAGGGACTTTTATTCTACACATGATGAAATTAGCAGCAGGTTGGTGGACTATAACAAAACTTGTTTCCCTCCTGTGAGGTGCACTGGTTCAACACATCACATCGGAGCCTTTGCCAAACGAAGAGCATCGAGTGACTGACGACGTCTGACGCTGTGAGAAAGCACTTTGAGCTAAAAGTTTGACAGCCTTTGTGTTTGTGCCAGGTCCTCAATACAACATCTGAAAAAGTGAGTGAGGAGGGCATTGAGAGCATGGCCAGTGTGACGGTCACCTCTGACATCACTGCCTTCTGCAATGCCTCCAATGAATACGGCACACAAGCGGTAGCGGTGATCTTCAGCATCAACACCAGTGAGTCCCTGCTGCTTGTGATTCCTGTATATTGTATATGTGTATATTTCTACCCCTCTCCACCCCCATTCCTGTCTTTGTTACTTCTTGTTTTTTTATTTTAACTTTGTCCGAAGCTCTGCCGCTGTAAGGTGTTGCCTGTTATTTCTGTCAGTGTTGTTGTTGTCGTCTTGGACGAGATGCTGTTAAGCTGTGTCTGTGAGGTGTTCACCTGTCCTCCTCCATTGTGTTGATAGTGTGTCCCTTCCCTTTTGTGCCTCTTTACACCAGCCGCCGCCACCACCACCACCACCACCATTACTCCTACTACTAATACTACTACTACTAGTAATAGTAGCAGCACTGCCATTTCCTCTACCTCTGCCACAGGTAAGACTACAGTCAAAGAATATGCACTGTCTGAAATTTAGAAAACCACTATATTAAACAAAATCCCATTTAAAAAAAAATCAGAATCAGCTTTATTGGCCAGGTGTTTTGGACACACGAGGAATTTGACTCTGGTACATCGGCTCTCACTGTATGTACATATCCCCATGCAAGCTGTGTCTGTGAGGTGTTCACCTGTCCTCCCCCATTGTGTTGATAGTGTGTCCCTTCCCTTTTGTGCCTCTACGTGTTTTCAGCTATACACACCTTTACACCAGCCGCCGCCGCCACCACCACCACTACTCCTACTAATACTACTACTAATACTACTACTACTAGTAATAGTAGCAGCACCACCGTTTCCTCTCCCTCTGCC